TATATTTTCTCGAGTCAGTCGCACTTGCCACAAGCAATAGCGACACTACGACCTAAGTCATATCGCCTGTCATCAAATTAGATTTCCGCCTGTGGTTCGGCATAATTTAAAGACCTAACGTGGTATTTTCGAACGGTGTAGAGAGCCGTTCAATGGTGAATCAAAGCGCCACAAGAAATCACTTCTTCGACGCCCCGCACTATGCGTTCTGGCTGGACTTGTTGAGGGGCTAAGGTGTTAAGAGAAGATGCTGTTTCCGCCAAGTAGCCGCAATGATAAAGCTCGAGACGACGGTTTTTTCTGTGGTTTGTGTTCTTAAGCCCAATGTGGTAGCATTCAGCGGGCAAAAGGGGGTTTTAAGTTTGCTTTTTTCGCACAATATGATCAGACGGTGGAAAGCAAGGCTGAGTCTGGCACAGGGGCGGGGGCTAGACAACAAGTGGCAGTCAGACCTTGTCTATCGATTTCCATACCATTAACTACGTGTGTGCCAGAACTACTCGTAAGACTGTCAGGTGAGTTAGCCTACTCCTCCCGCGCCGCGCCGAAATACACGAAGCGAGCACAACACGTTGGCTTAACTATCATTTTCTATTCTGCATTTGAACTTAAAAAAGATAAATGGGCTAGTCGCATGGAGGAGGGAGGGAGGAAAAAGGTATTGGGCCTTGGAGCGGTGATTGAATTAGATATAAATACAAAACTGTGAGGCCCCAGTTTGTTTGTAGGCCACAAAAGCTAGCGCCCACTGCGATTTGAGAAACTTTTGCGTTCTAAATGTGGTGAAAGGCTGGCTGATGTGCTACAAAACTACCAGTTTCTAAATAATGAAACAAGGAAACGCGACAGGAACGCCGACTAGGGCAAGGGTAAGTATTTCTTGCCGAGTTACGTCATTGGCCACCAACATCAACCCTGGAGGGCCTACGGATGAGGAACCGTATATTTGGATACCCACAGAAAAGCGGAGGAAATTGCAAGAATGTCGACAAAGTGAAACTCTCGTGCGACAGATCAATAAGGTACGTCCATGATGAAGCACCGGCAGGCAGGAATGGTCCCTTGTAGCTTATTGTCTGTCATAAGCAAGTCATAAATGGCCATTCTTGTGTCCCCTGTCATCAAGATACGTTAGTCGGTGCTGGACGAGAGCGCTAGATTGGATTCCGATACAGAACGGGACGAGCATTTCCCGTTACCTGATCGATGAACGCCATTACCTCATAATATGCTTTACATATGCATACATTTAATGGACCTATCACACTCCTACGAGCACCACTTTCTCACACATATAGCTTCCAGACGAGAACTTTGATTAAGCACAAATCAACGGGGCCCTAGCCATGCCTATCCAGTCTGTCACAGGCGTGGTTAGTGGCGCGCTTCAGAGCAGCCGCGTACCTCCTTAGTTGGCAACGAGTGCATGGCCACAATTTCTCTCACGATCTGTAGCTCACGTTTTTTACTTAGAAAGTTAAAGTACACCCAAACCCTCAGGTCAACTTGAAAGGTGAGCCACAGCATCTTTACGTCGGAGAGCAGC